ATAGGTAACTTTCACTCCCCTGGCAGGCTTAATCTAAGCGATATCACAAATATGTCTATACCAAGTTACGATTATACTGTGCAAGAGTACTTATCTTACAAATTTTGACAAGTAATGGTGTCTGTTGTTTTGACAAGTCTTGGAAGTCACAAGTTCTTAAAGCAGCTACATTCTAAATTGATTTAGATCAAAATAAACAACTGCAGTGGCTGTGAAAGTCTTAGTAATTTTGAAAACTTTGGTAGTAGATATGATTATCAATACTATTTTTCAGCGCTTTGCATATTCCTTCATCTGCTTGATAATATTTGCCAATCGAAGGGATAGATGACAAGTTTGTTTACTTATTTTCCATTTATACATACTACTCAGGTGAGATACTACTACTACAAGGTTTTTACAATATTTATGAGTTTGTTGGTGGTAAAGTTCTTCGTTTGGGAAAAATTCAACAGAAGCAGATGAACAATGCTCGCTTTATGATCTGGAGAAAAATGTGCTATCGCCTTAAAATAAAATTTCCTCTATTTTTTTTAATGTTGTATGATTATGATCAATCAATTAGAAACATGACATATAATAATAACATCTCTAAAAATTAGACCAGAAGCTTGAAATTATTAAGTACTATAGTTGTTGGACAGTAAGTAATAGTATCGCTTGAAAATCAAATTTTGTAATCTGTTTCCTCTGATTCAATAATGATTTTTTTTGTAATCTATGATTAAGATCAGTCTTAGAAACAGGACAGATGTGAGTATCCTTGAAATTAGACATATAATAATAACATCTTTAAAAACAGAATAGAAATTTGAAATCATCAAGTGCTATAGTTTTTTGACAAGTAATGGTGTCTGTTGTTTTGACAAGTCTTGGAAGTGACAAGTCCTTAAAGCAGCTACATTCTAAATCGAAGTACATACATTCTGCATTGAGATCAAAATAAACAACTGCAGTGGCTGTGAAAGTCTTAGTAATTTTGAAAACTTTGGTAGTAGACATGATTATCAATGCTATTTTTCAGCGCTTTGCATATTCCTTCATCTGCTTGATAATATGTGCCACTGTTAGCCAGCTAATAGGTCTACATATTTAGATACATTGAACTGAGGGTCAAGACTGAACTCTTACTGAACTTCATAGAAGTGACTGACTACTTACGTTTGCAATAGAAACACATAAACTGTAAACACTTCACAACACTTTCACTATTTGTAGCTGCGATTGCTTGTTCTAAGCTTCTAATTAATCCTTATTAACGGGAGCCTCATTATTAAGATTTCGATAATGTTTACATTCATACATTGTAGGTTAGAAATCGGAGGTGATGCAATCAGACATACGCTTTATATCAATCGGTTGGAAAAGCGGAGCTTTATGCCATATTGTAAAATTATAACATGAATAGGGGCTTACAATCATATTTTTATCGTATTTATAAACCGATGATGATTTCAATAAATTGATGAACGTCAAAGAATAATTGCAGCCTTTGGCGGTAGACATCGCAATCTGTAAACATAAAAAACTACTAGATTCATCCGATTTTAATGGCTCTAGTCCGGTCCGTTTAGACAATGGAATATAGAAATTTTGAATCTTTTCGAAAATGTTGATTTTCACGCGCAAAAAAGGACAATTCTATTTGGCGTGATCCAATATTGGATGAAGCGATAGTCATGAAGCCGAAAATGGCACGTTTTTGACGTTCCGCTCGCACTCACTCGCTTTCGTAATACGATCGTATCTACGATACCCCGCCTAACAGGAATCCGGGGATCTGGAGGGGAAATTCAAAATTGAAACGTCAAACTAAAAATATCTGCATATCTTTAAATTTTGTAATCTGCCGAGTTTAAAAAATGCGATCGGGTAACGTGTCGTATGTCGGTTTAATCAGGAGACTTTGGCCTTTCGTTTTGCGAAAAAAAATCGTAGCCACGTCGCTCCGTAACGCAGGTCCGTATCGACGAAGACAAAGTACGCCGAAAAACGGTTGTCATCGGTACTTTTGAGGCGCTCAAAGTTTACTTTTTCGAAATTTGACGGTAATTCTGACGGTCAGAATCGTTTCGTCAGCTCATTATCGTTATTTTTCGATAGCTGTATAATTTTTACTCGCTCACGTACGGTAGTAATAAGCGAGGACAGAGCCGGATGACAAGGTGACTTTTCACGCGTCGAAAAGTAGCGTATTGTCGAGGAATTTTTAAAAAATCGAAACTTTTCAACGTAAACGAATGGAGAAACGGATAAGATTGCGATCCCGTATTCGAAGTACGGGCTTTCTTATGCGACAGTCGCCAGGTCCGTATCTTCGTTATCTTCGGAGGAGATAGACCGTGGACGGCGATAAGCGCGTTTCATAAGCAAAAAAGTCATTCTTGACGACGTTCGAGGTTCGTTTATTCGAAACGGGTGCCGTAAACGGAAAAAAGTCTCTCCGCGTAATTCGTAGCGCTAGTCGAGATGTACGAAACGCGGCGTGCGAAATTTCTTTTCTCTTCGGCGTAAAGGAGATATCGAAGTTTTTACCGCGACTTGCCGTTTTTCTCGCGTTTTCTTTAACATTTTCTTAAAAAAAACTAAGACGCGGACCGCGATCAGTTCCGCCCTAAAGTGTGCGCCCGTCGTTTAGCTATCGAACGAGACCGATCTCGAGTCGATATTTCGATAAACGGCGAAACGAGTGTGAAATAACGCCGCGTACCGTCCGAAAAACGGTCGATTTTTCAACTTTACCGGCCGTTTTCGATCCGATCCGTTCCTCTCGCCGCGACGGCTCTCGCCCGCCCGTAAAGCGCCGAGTTTCTAGTTTCCGAAACGGTACCTCCTTCCTTCCGAACGTTTCGCGAACCGGGAAAAAACCGAAAAAAACCGCGTCGACGTCGCCCGCCCAAAATTTCTAACGTCACGTGACCTCTTCCTTAAAACAATCGATCACCGCTTAATATAGTCGACTAGCGCAGTTTCTGGCATGCTAACGCTATGCCAAATATTGTACGTTGATGTCTTTATTTAAAACCTCACGTAGCGCAGTTGCTGGTATGCTAATGCAATGCTAGCGATAACTATCTCTAATCATTTTTTATCCTTTGGCATCTTTGATCTGGTATCTGGTATCAGGTATCTGGTATCTGGTATCTGGTATCCGGTATCCGGTGTCTGGTATCTGGTATCAGGTATCTGGTGTCTGGTGTCTGGTATCTGGTATCTGGTATCCGGTATCCGGTGTCTGGTATCTGGTATCTGGTATCTGGTGTTTGGTATCTGATGTCTGGTATCTGGTATCCGGTATCTGGTGTCTGGCATCTGGTATCTGGTGTCTGGTGTCTGGTATCTGATGTCTGGTATCTGATGTCTGGTATCTGGTGTCTGGTATCTGGAATCTGGTATCTGGTATCTGGTATCCGGTATCTGATGTCTTTATCTGGTATCTGGTATCTGGTGTCTGGTATCTGGTGTCTGGTGTCTAGTATCTGGTGTCTGGTGTCTGGTATCTAATATCTGGTATCTGGTATCTGGTATCTGGTGTCTGGTATCTGGTATCTGGTATTTGGTACCTGGTATCTGATATCTAATCTCTGGTGTTTGGTGTCTGATGTCTGGATCTGATATCTGGTGTCTGATATCTGGTATCTGGTATTTGGTATCTGGTGTCTGGTGTTTGGTGTCTGGTATCTGGTATCTGGTGTCTGGTATCAGGTATCTGGTATGTGGTATTTGGTATCTGGTATTTGGTATCTGGTATCTGATATCTAATATCTGGTATTTGGTGTCTGATGTCTGGATCTGATATCTGGTGTCTGGTGTCTGGTATCTGGTATCTGGTATCTGGTATTTGGTATCTGGTGTCTGGTGTCTGGTATCTGGTGTCTGGTATCAGGTATCTGGTATCTGGTATCTGGTATCTGGTATTTGGTATCTGGTATCTGATATCTGGTGTCTGGTATCTAGTGTCTGGTGTCTGGTATCAGGTATCTGGTATCTGGTATTTGGTATTTGGTATCTGGTATCTGATATCTAATATCTGGTGTTTGGTGTCTGATGTCTGGATCTGATATCTGGTGTCTGGTATCTGGTATCTGGTATCTGGTATCTGGTGTCAGGTATCTGGTATCTGGTATTTGGTATCTGGTATTTGGTATCTGGTATCTGATATCTAATATCTGGTGTTTGGTGTCTGATGTCTGGATCTGATATCTGGTGTCTGGTGTCTGGTGTCTGGTATCTGGTATCTGGTATTTGGTATCTGGTATCTGGTATCTGGTGTCTGGTATCAGGTATCTGGTATCTGGTATTTGGTATCTGGTATTTGGTATCTGGTATCTGATATCTAATATCTGGTGTTTGGTGTCTGATGTCTGGATCTGATATCTGGTGTCTGGTATCTGGTATTTGGTATCTGGTGTCTGGTGTCTGGTGTCTGGTATCTGGTATCTGGTGTCTGGTATCAGGTGTCTGGTATCTGGTATTTGGTATCTGGTATCTGATATCTGGTATCTGATATCTGGTGTCTGGTATCTAGTGTCTGGTATCTGGTATTTGGTATCTGGTATCTGGTATTTGGTATCTGGTGTCTGGAATCTGATATCTGGTGTCTGGTGTCTGGTATCTGATATCTGATATCTGGTATCTGGTGTCTGGTGCCTGATGTCTCGTGTCTGGTGTCTGGTATCTGGTATCTGATATCTGGTATTTGGTATTTGGTATCTGGTGTCTAGTGTCTGGTATCTGGTATCCGGTATCTGGTATCAGGTATCTGGTATCTGGCATCTGGTATCTGGTAACTGGTACTTGGTATTTGGTATCTGATATCTGGTGTCTGGTATCTGGTATCTGGTGTCTAGTATCTAGTATTTGGTATCTGGTATCTTATGTCTGGTATCTGGTGTCTTGTGTCTGGTATCTGGTATCTGGTGTCTGGTATCTGGTATCTGGTATCTGGTATTTGGTATTTGGTATTTGGTATCTAGTATCTGGTATCTAGTGTCTGGTGTCTAGTATCTGGTGTCCGGTATCTGTGTCTGGGTCTGGTATCTGGTATCTGGTATGTGGTGTCTGGTGTCTGGTATCTGGTATCTGGTGTCTGGCATCTGGTATCTGGTGTCTGGTATCTGATGTCTGGTATCAGATATCTGGTATCTGGTATCTGGTGTCTGGCATCTGGTATCTGGTGTCTGGTATCTGGTATCTGGTGTCTGGTATCTGGTATCTGGTATCTCGTATCTGGTATCTGGTATCTGGTTTCTGGAGTCTGGTATCTGGTGCCTGGTGTCTGGTATCTGATGTCTGGTGTCTGGTATCTGGTGTCTGGTGTCTGGTATCAGGTACCTGGTGTCTGGTATCTGGTGTCTGGTATTTGGTATCTGGTATCTGGTGTCTGGAATCTGGTATCTGGTATATGGTATCTGGTATTTGGTATCTGTTATCTCTTTATCTGGTATCTGGTATCCGATGTCTGGTGTCTGGTATCTGGTGTCTGGTATCTGGTATCTGATATGTGGTGTCTGGTGTCTGGTATCTGGTATCTGATGTCTAGTATCTGGTATCTGGTGTCTGGAATCTGGTATCTGGTATCCGGTGTCTGGTATCTGGTATCTGGTATCCGGTATCTGATGTCTGGTATATGGTGTCTGGAATCTGGTATCTGGTGTCTGGTATCTGGTATCTGGAATCTGGTATCTGGTGTCTGGTATCTGGTATCTGGTATCTGGTATCTGGTATTTGGTATCTGTTATCTCTTTATCTGGTATCTGGTTTCTGGTGTCTGGTATCTGGTATCTGGTGTCTGGTATCTGGTGTCTGGTATCTGGTGTCTGGTATCTGGTGTCTGGTGTCTGGTATCTGGTATTTGGTATCTGTTATCTCTTTATCTGGTATCTGGTTTCTGGTGTCTGGTATCTGGCATCTGGTATCTCGTATCTGGTATCTGGTATCAGGTATCTGATGTTTGGTATCTGGTATCTGGTGTCTGGTATCTGGTGGCTGGTATCTGGTATCTCGTATCTGGTGTTTGGTATCTGGTGTCTGGTGTCTGGTATCTGGTATCTGGTATCTGGTATCTCGTATCTGGTATCTGGTTTCTGGTGTCTGGTATCTGATGTCTGGTATCTGGTGTCTGGTGTCTGGTATCTGGTATCTGGTGTCTGGTATCTGGTGTCTGGTGTCGTATCTGGTATCTGGTGTCTGGTGTCTGGTATCTGGTGTCTGGTGTCTGGTATCTGATGTCTGGTATCTGTTATCTTTTATAAGTTATCAGTTTTCATTTTTCATTTTTCTATTTTAATTTTTAATTTTTCATTTTTAATTTTTCTATTTTAATTTTTAATTTTTAATTTTTAATTTTTAATTTTTAATTTTTAATTTTTAATTTTTAATTTTTAATTTTTAATTTTTAATTTTTAATTTTTAATTTTTAATTTTTAATTTTTAATTTTTCGATTTTTCGATTTTTCGATTTTTCGATTTTTCGATTTTTCGATTTTTCGATTTTTCGATTTTTCGATTTTTCGATTTTTCGATTTTTCGATTTTTCGATTTTTCGATTTTTCGATTTTTCGATTTTTCGATTTTTCGATTTTTCGATTTTTCGATTTTTCGATTTTTCGATTTTTCGATTTTTCGATTTTCGATTTGATTTTTTGATTTTTGATTTTTAATTTTCAATTTTCAATTTTTCATTTTTCATTTTTCATTCTTCAGATTTCAGTTTTCATTTTTTAGTTTTCAGTTATCAGTTATTTGTTATCTGTTATCTGTTTTCTTTTATCTGTTACTTTTTATCTGTTATCTGTCATCTTTTATCTGTTATAAGTTATCTGTTATCTGTTATATGTTACCACCTGTTACCTGTTACCACCTTTTACCTGTTATCTGTTATTTTCCATATAGCATTGAAAATATCCTGTATAACAGACTCAGATTTATGTGAGATGCCGGCAACGTCGCATGTGTTGTTGTTAATACCATACATGGCGTTATAAAATCTTCCATGTAGCAAATTGTATAGCAGACTTAGATTTATATGAGGATCGTCGCATAAATCTAGCTATAACACGACTTGCAAAAAAATGGCGCTTGACACTGACATATGTCAACCGTGTTCGTCTACGGATAGCAGTGGACTATGCTTTCTTCAGTGTATATGTTTTCTGTTTTGTAATGTCAATGTCATTGTCATAGGTAATTTTTTCTAACCTGGAAAATGAAATGTATTTTGTTTAAAATTAAAATTCAATAACTCCTATTGTGAGATGTGTGCATCTACAACATAATGAAAGGAAAAATTAAGATTCTGAAAGTTAATTCCTAAATATCATAGTAAGGAAATCCGTAAAACTAAAAAAAAAGTAAACATAAACACCTTGAGAAAACTTCTTCCGTATCAAGTGGTTAAAGTGGAGTTTTAAAACAATTTTTGTTGAAAATAAGGCCGTTAGTTTACAAGCAGGTATGTAACTGAGCGATCCGCTAATGTGTGTGTATCTTGCTTATAAAAAATGCTGTATTTAGATATTGCTATTCACAAGAGCTACCGTTCTTTGATAGGATATTTTCAAATTGAACTTTTGTCTTATTTTTACTATTTATTGCAGGAGAACAGTTGTTGAACCAGGTCCTGGTGCATACTTATGTAGTTGTCACTTTGTGGATGGGAAAAAAGAAAATAGACCTACATTGTTTAGGTATAATAGGGAGAAGCAATTGAACTTTCCATCGCCAGAAAGAAGAACCCGTAAAAATAACAACAATGTGAAAATTGAACTCTATAATATGTTACTTCAAATTGGGCCCTTTTAAGGGATGTATGTAATAATTATGTGATCTGCAGAAATAGAAATATAAAAAATAAATACAACACATGGCATCATAAATTATTTTAATGTAGACTTCAGTACTCGTATAGGTAACTTTCACTCCCCTGGCAGGCTTAATCTAAGCGATATCACAAATATGTCTATACCAAGTTACGATTATACTGTGCAAGAGTACTTATCTTACAAATTTTGACAAGTAATGGTGTCTGTTGTTTTGACAAGTCTTGGAAGTCACAAGTTCTTAAAGCAGCTACATTCTAAATCGATTTAGATCAAAATAAACAACTGCAGTGGCTGTGAAAGTCTTAGTAATTTTGAAAACTTTGGTAGTAGATATGATTATCAATGCTATTTTTCAGCGCTTTGCATATTCCTTCATCTGCTTGATAATATTTGCCAATCGAAGGGATAGATGACAAGTTTGTTTACTTATTTTCCATTTATACATACTACTCAGGTGAGATACTACTACTACAAGGTTTTTACAATATTTATGAGTTTGTTGGTGGTAAAGTTCTTCGTTTGGGAAAAATTCAACAGAAGCAGATGAACAATGCTCGCTTTATGATCTGGAGAAAAATGTGCTATCGCTTTAAAATAAAATTTCCTCTATTTTTTTTAATGTTGTATGATTATGATCAATCAATTAGAAACATGACATATAATAATAACATCTCAAAAAATTAGACCAGAAGCTTGAAATTATTAAGTACTATAGTTGTTGGACAGTAAGTAATAGTATCGCTTGAAAATCAAATTTTGTAATCTGTTTCCTCTGATTCAATAATGAATTTTTCTGTAATCTATGATTAAGATCAGTCTTAGAAACAGGACAGATGTGAGTATCCTTGAAATTAGACATATAATAATAACATCTTTAAAAACAGAATAGAAATTTGAAATCATCAAGTGCTATAGTTTTTTGACAAGTAATGGTGTCTGTTGTTTTGACAAGTCTTGGAAGTGACAAGTCCTTAAAGCAGCTACATTCTAAATCGAAGTACATACATTCTGCATTGAGATCAAAATAAACAACTGCAGTGGCTGTGAAAGTCTTAGTAATTTTGAAAACTTTGGTAGTAGATATGATTATCAATGCTATTTTTCAGCGCTTTGCATATTCCTTCATCTGCTTGATAATATGTGCCACTGTTAGCCAGCTAATAAGTCTACATATTTAGATGAATTGAACTGAGGGTCAAGACTGAACTCTTACTGAACTTCATAGAAGTGACTGACTACTTACGTTTGCAATAGAAACACATAAACTGTAAACACTTCACACAACACTTTCACTATTTGTAGCTGCGATTGCTTGTTCTAAGCTTCTAATTAATCCTTATTAACGGGAGCCTCATTATTAAGATTTCGATAATGTTTACATTCATATACGTTGTAGGTTAGAAATCGGAGGTGATGCAATCGGACATTCGCTGTATATCAATCGGTTGGAAAAGCGGAGCTTTATGCCATATTGTAAAATTATAACATGAATAGGGGCTTACAATCATATTTTTATCGTATTTATAAACCGATGATGATTTCAATAAATTGATGAACGTCAAAGAATAATTGCAGCCTTTGGCGGTTGACATCGCAATCTGTAAACATAGAAAACTACTAGATTCATACGATTTTAATGGCTCTAGTCCGGTCCGTTTAGACAATGGAATATAAAAATTTTGAATCTTTTCGAAAATGTTGATTTTCACGCGTAAAAAAGGACAAATCTATTTGGCGTGATCCAATATTGGATGAAGCGATAGTCATGAAGCCGAAAATGGCACGTTTTTGACGTTCCGCTCGCACTCGCTCGCTTTCGTAATACGATCGTATCTACAATACCCCGCCTAACAGGAATCCGGGGATCTGGAGGGGAAATTCAAAATTGAAACTTCAAACTAAAAATGTGTGCATATCTTTGAATTTTCTAATCTGCCGAGTTTAAAAAATGCGATCGGGTAACGTGTCGTATGTCGGTTTAATCAGGAGACTTTGGTCTTTCGTTTTGCGAAAAAAAATCGTAGCTACGTCGCTCCGTAACGCAGGTCCGTATCGACGAAGACAAAGTACGCCGAAAAACGGTTGTCATCGGTACTTTTGAGGCGCTCAAAGTTTACTTTTTCGAAATTTGACGGTAATTCTGACGGTCAGAATCGTTTCGTCAGCTCATTATCGTTATTTTTCGATAGCTGTATAATTTTTACTCGCTCACGTACGGTAGTAATAAGCGAGGACAGAGCCGGATGACAAGATGACTTTTTCACGCGTCGAAAAGTAGCGTATTGTCGAGGAATTTTTAAAAAATCGAAACTTTTCAACGTAAACGAATAATAATGATGAAAATAGTATTAAAAGAGTGTCCGAAGCATGGACTTTCTCACGCAAAAATCGTCAGGTTCGTAGCTCCTTTATCTTCGGAGGAGATAGCTGATTTACGGCGAAGCAGCGCGCTTTATACGCAAAAAAGTCATTCTTGACGACGTTCGAGGTTCGTTTATTCGAAACGGGTACCGTAAACGAAAAAACGTCTCTCCGCATAATTTGTAGCGCTCGCCGAGATGTACGAAACGCGACGCGCGAAATTCCTTTTCTCATCGGCATAAGGGAGATATCGTAGTTTTCAAGGCGATTCGTCGTTTTTGTCGCTTTTTTTTCGAACATTTCTAGAAAAAAAACCGAGACGCGGAACCAAACAGATTTAGCTAATAGGCACGTATTTTTCGTTTAGCTATCGAACGAGACCGATCTCGAGTCGATATTTCGATAAACGGCGAAACGAGTGTGAAATAACGCCGCGTACCGTCCGAAAAACGGTCGATTTTTCGACTTTACCGGCCGTTTCGATCCGATCCGTTCCTCTCGCCGCGACGGCTCTCGCCCGCCCGTAAAGCGCCGAGTTTCTACTTTCCGAAACGGTACCTCTTTCCCTCCGAACGTACCGCGAACCTCCTAAAAAACCGCGAAAACCGCGTCGACGTCGCACGGCCTGACTCTAACGTCACGTGACCTTCTAAGGAAAAAACAATCGATCACCGCTTAATATAGTCGACTAGCGCAGTTTCTGGCATGCTAACGCTATGCCAAATATTGTACGTTGATGTCTTTATTTAAAACCTCACGTAGCGCAGTTTCTAGCATGCCAACCTCTCGTATCTGGTATCTGGTATCAGGTATCTGATGTTTGGTATCTGGTGTCTGGTATCTGATGTCTGGTTTCTGGTGTCTGGTGTCTGGTATCTGGTATCTGGTATCTGGTGTCTGGTATCTGGTGTTTGGTATCTGGTATTTGGTATCTGTTATCTCTTTATCTGGTATCTGGTTTCTGGTCTCTGGTATCTGGTGTCTGGTATCTGGTGGCTGGTATCTGGTATCTCGTATCTGGTGTTTGGCATCTGGTATCTGGTGTCTGGTATCTGGTATCTGGTATCTCGTATCTGGTATCTGGTGTCTGGTATCTGATGTCTGGTATCTGGTATCTGGTATCTGGTATCTCGTATCTGGTATCTGGTTTCTGGTGTCTGGTATCTGATGTCTGGTATCTGGTATCAGGTATCTGATGTTTGGTATCTGGTATCTGGTGTCTGGTATCTGATGTCTGGTATCTGGTGTCTGGTGTCTGGTATCTGGTATCTGGTATCTGGTGTCTGGTATCTGGTGTCTGGTGTCTGGTATCTGGTATTTGGTATCTGTTATCTCTTTATCAGGTATCTGGTTTCTGGTGTCTGGTATCTGGTGTCTGGTATCTGGTGGCTGGTATCTGGTATCTCGTATCTGGTGTTTGGTATCTGGTACCTGGTATCTGGTACCTGGTGTCTGGTGTCTGGTATCTGGTATCTGGTATCTCGTATCTGGTATCTGGTATCTGGTGTCTGGTATCTGGTGTCTGGTATCTGGTGTCTGGTATCTGGTATCTGGTATCTCGTATCTGGTATCTGGTTTCTGGTGTCTGGTGTCTGGTATCTGGTGTCTGGTGGCTGGTATCTGGTATCTGGTATCTCGTATCTGGTGTTTGGTATCTGGTATCTGGTATCTGGTGTCTGGTGTCTGGTATCTGGTATCTGGTATCTGGTTTCTGGTGTCTGGTATATGGTATCTGGTGTCTGGTGTCTGGTATCTGGTATCTGGTATCTGGTGTCTGGTATCTGGTGTCTGGTGTCTGGTATCTGGTATCTGGTATCTCGTATCTGGTATCTGGTTTCTGGTGTCTGGTATCTGGTGTCTGGTATCTGGTGTCTGGTATCTGGTGTCTGGTATCTGGTGGCTGGTATCTGGTATCTGGTATCTCGTATCTGGTGTTTGGTATCTGGTACCTGGTATCTGGTATCTGGTGTCTGGTGTCAGGTATCTGGTATCTGGTATCTCGTATCTGGTATCTGGTTTCTGGTGTCTGGTATCTGGTATCTGGTGTCTGGTGTCTGGTATCTGGTGTCTGGTATCTGGTATCTCGTATCTGGTATCTGGTTTCTGGTGTCTGGTATCTGGTGTCTGGTATCTGGTATCTGGTGTCTGGTATCTGGTATCTGGTGTCTGGTGTCTGGTATCTGGTATCTGGTATCTCGTATCTGGTATCTGGTTTCTGGTATCTGATGTCTGGTATCTGATGTCTGGTATCTGGTGTCTGGTGTCTGGTATCTGGTATCTGGTATCTGGTGTCTGGTATCTGGTATCTGGTGTCTGGTATCTGGTGTCCAGTATCTGGTTTCTAGTATCTGCTATCTGGTATCTGTTATCTTTTATAAGTTATCAGTTTTCATTTTTCATTTTTCTATTTTAATTTTTAATTTTTTATTTTTAATTTTTCATTTTTCTGTTTTAATTTTTAATTTTTAATTTTTAATTTTTAATTTTTAATTTTTAATTTTTAATTTTTGATTTTTCGATTTTTCGATTTTTCGATTTTTCGATTTTTCGATTTTTCGATTTTTCGATTTTTCGATATTTCGATTTTTCGATCTTTCGATTTTTCGATTTTTCGATTTTTCGATTTTTCGATTTTTCGATTTTTCGATTTTTCGATTTTTCGATTTTTCGATTTTTCGATTTTTCGATTTTTCGATTTTTCGATTTTCGATTTTTCGATTTTTCGATTTTTCGATTTTTCGATTTGATTTTTGATTTTTGATTTTTGATTTTTGATTTTTAATTTTCGATTTTCAATTTTTCATTTTTCATTTTTCATTCTTCAGATTTCAGTTTTCATTTTTTAGTTTTCAGTTATCAGTTATTTGTTATCTGTTACCTGTTTTCTTTTATCTGTTACTTTTTATCTGTTATCTGTCATCTTTTATTTTTTATCTGTTATAAGTTATCTGTTATATGTTACCACCTGTTACCTGTTACCACCTTTTACCTGTTATCTGTTGTCTGTTATCTTCCATATAGCATTGAAAATATCCTGTATACAATTGTATAACAGACTCAGATTTATGTGAGATGCCGGCAACGTCGCATGTGTTGTTGTTAATACCATACATGGCGTTATAAAATCTTCCATGTAGCAAATTGTATAGCAGACTTAGATTTATATGAGGATCGTCGCATAAATCTAGCTATAACACGACTTGCAAAAAAATGGCGCTTGACACTGACATATGTCAACCGTGTTCGTCTATGGATAGCAGTGGACTATGCTTTCTTCAGTGTATATGTTTTCTGTTTTGTAATGTCAATGTCATTGTCATAGGTAATTTTTTCTAACCTGGAAAATGAAATGTATTTTGTTTAAAATTAAAATTCAATAACTCCTATTGTGAGATGTGTGCATCTACAACATAATGAAAGGAAAAATTAAGATTCTGACAGTTAATTCCTAAATATCATAGTAAGGAAATCCGTAAAACTAAAAAAAAAGTAAACATAAACACCTTGAGAAAACTTCTTCCGTATCAAGTGGTTAAAGTGGAGTTTTAAAACAATTTTTGTTGAAAATAAGGCCGTTAGTTTACAAGCAGGTATGTAACTGAGCGATCCGCTAATGTGTGTGTATCTTGCTTATAAAAAATGCTGTATTTAGATATTGCTATTCACATCAGCTACCGTTCTTTGATAGGATACTTTCAAATTGAACTTTTGTCTTATTTTTACTATTTATTGCAGGAGAACAGTTGTTGAACCAGGTCCTGGTGCATACTTATGTAGTTGTCACTTTGTGGATGGGAAAAAAGAAAATAGACCTACATTGTTTAGGTATAATAGGGAGAAGCAATTGAACTTTCCATCGCCAGAAAGAAGAACCCGTAAAAATAACAACAATGTGAAAATTGAACTCTATAATATGTTACTTCAAATTGGGCCCTTTTAAGGGATGTATGTAATAATTATGTGATCTGCAGAAATAAAAATAGTTTAGATACAACACATGGCATCATAAATTATTTTAATGTAGAGTTCAGTACTCGTATAGGTAACTTTCACTCCCCTGGCAGGCTTAATCTAAGCGATATCACAAATATGTCTATACCAAGTTACGATTATACTGTGCAAGAGTACTTATCTTACAAATTTTGACAAGTAATGGTGTCTGTTGTTTTGACAAGTCTTGGAAGTCACAAGTTCTTAAAGCAGCTACATTCTAAATCGATTTAGATCAAAATAAACAACTGCAGTGGCTGTGAAAGTCTTAGTAATTTTGAAAACTTTGGTAGTAGATATGATTATCAATGCTATTTTTCAGCGCTTTGCATATTCCTTCATCTGCTTGATAATATTTGCCAATCGAAGGGATAGATGACAAATTTGTTTACTTATTTTCCATTTATACATACTACTCAGGTGAGATACTACTACTACAAGGTTTTTACAATATTTATGAGTTTGTTGGTGGTAAAGTTCTTCGTTTGGGAAAAATTCAACAGAAGCAGATGAACAATGCTCGCTTTATGATCTGGAGAAAAATGTGCTATCGCTTTAAAATAAAATTTCCTCTATTTTTTTTAATGTTGTATGATTATGATCAATCAATTAGAAACATGACATATAATAATAACATCTCAAAAAATTAGACCGGAAGCTTGAAATTATTAAGTACTATAGTTGTTGGACAGTAAGTAATAGTATCGCTTGAAAATCAAATTTTGTAATCTGTTTCCTCTGATTCAATAATGAATTTTTCTGTAATCTATGATTAAGATCAGTCTTAGAAACAGGACAGATGTGAGTATCCTTGAAATTAGACATATAATAACAACATCTTTAAAAACAGAATAGAAATTTGAAATCATCAAGTGCTATAGTTTTTTGACAAGTAATGGTGTCTGTTGTTTTGACAAGTCTTGGAAGTGACAAGTCCTTAAAGCAGCTACATTCTAAATCGAAGTACATACATTCTGCATTGAGATCAAAATAAACAACTGCAGTGGCTGTGAAAGTCTTAGTAATTTTGAAAACTTTGGTAGTAGATATGATTATCAATGCTATTTTTCAGCGCTTTGCATATTCCTTCATCTGCTTGATAATATGTGCCACTGTTAGCCAGCTAATAGGTCTACATATTTAGATACATTGAACTGAGGGTCAAGACTGAACTCTTACTGAACTTCATAGAAGTGACTGACTACTTACGTTTGCAATAGAAACACATAAACTGGAAACACTTCACACAACATTTTCACTATTTGTAGCTGCGATTGCTTGTTCTAAGCTTCTAATTAATCCTTATTAACGGGAGCCTCATTATTAAGATTTCGATAATGTTTACATTCATACATTGTAGGTTAGAAATCGGAGGTGATGCAATCAGACATACGCTTTATATCAATCGGTTGGAAAAGCGGAGCTTTATGCCATATTGTAAAATTATAACATGAATAGGGGCTTACAATCATATTTTTATCGTATTTATAAACCGATGATGATTTCAATAAATTGATGAACGTCAAAGAATAATTGCAGCCTTTGGCGGTAGACATCGCAATCTGTAAACATAAAAAACTACTAGATTCATCCGATTTTAATGGCTCTAGTCCGGTCCGTTTAGACAATGGAATATAGAAATTTTGAATCTTTTCGAAAATGTTGATTTTCACGCGCAAAAAAGGACAATTCTATTTGCCGTGATCCAATATTGGATGAAGCGATAGTCATGAAGCCGAAAATGGCACGTTTTTGACGTTCCGCTCGCACTCGCTCGCTTTCGTAATACGATCGTATCTACAATACCCCGCCTAACAGGAATCCGGGGATCTGGAGGGGAAATTCAAAATTGAAACTTCAAACTAAAAATGTGTGCATATTTTTGAATTTTGTAATCTGCCGAGTTTAAAAAATGCGATCGGGTAACGTGTAGTATGTCGGTTTAATCAGGAGACTTTGGTCTTTCGTTTTGCGAAAAAAAATCGTAGCTACGTTGCTCCGTAACGCAGGTGCGTATCGACGAAGACAAAGTACGCCGAAAAACGGTTGTCATCGGTACTTTTGAGGCGCTCAAAGTTCGCTTTTTCGAAATTTGACGGTAATTCTGACGGTCAGAATCGTTTCGTCAGCTCATTATCGTTATTTTTCGATAGCTGTATAATTTTTACTCGCTCACGTACGGTAGTAATAAGCGAGGACAGAGCCGGATGACAAGGTGACTTTTTCACGCGTCGAAAAGTAGCGTATTGTCGAGGAATTTTTAAAAAATCGAAACTTTTCAACGTAAACGAATAATGATGATGAAAATAGTATTAAAAGAGTGTCCGAAGCATGGGCTTTCTCACGCAAAAATCGTCAGGTTCGTAGCTCCTTTATCTTCGGAGGAGATAGCTGATTTACGGCGAAGCAGCGCGCTTTATACGCAAAAAAGTCATTCTTGACGACGTTCGAGGTTCGTTTATTCGAAACGGGTACCGTAAACGAAAAAACGTCTCTCCGCGTAATTTGTAGCGCTCGCCGAGATGTACGAAACGCGGCACGCGAAATTCCTTTTCTCTTCGGCATAAGGGAGATAGCGTAGTTTTCAAGGCGATTCGTCGTTTTTGTCGCTTTTTTTTCGAACATTTCTAGAAAAAAAACCGAGACGCGGAACCGAACAGATTTAGCTAATAGGCACGTATTTTTCGTTTAGCTATCGAACGAGACCGATCTCGAGTCGATATTTCGATAAACGGCGAAACCAGTGTGAAATAACGCCGCGTACCGTCCGGAAAACGGTCGATTTTTCGACTTTACCGGCCGTTTTCGATCCGATCCGTTCCTCTCGCCGCGACGGCTCTCGCCCGCCCGTAAAGCGCCGACCGTCTACTTTCCGAAACGGTACCTCTTTCTCTCCGAACGTACCGCGAACCTCCTAAAAAACCGCGAAAACCGCGTCGACGTCATACAATTTCCGAACCCACTACCAATCACTACCAATTCAAAAACAATCGATCACCGCTTAATATAGTCGATAGCGCAGTTTCTGGCATGCTAACGCTATGCCAAATATTGTATGTTGATGTGTTTATTTAAAACCTCACGTAGCGCAGTTGCTGGTATGCTAATGCAATGCTAGCGATAACTATCTCTAATCATTTTTTATCCTTTGGCATCTTTGATCTGGTATCTGGAATCTGGTATCTGGTGTCTGGTATCTGGTATCTGGTATCTGGTGTCTGGTATCTGGTATCTGGTATCTGGTATCTCGTATCTGGTATCTGGTTTCTGGTGTCTGGTATCTGATGTCTGGTATCTGGTATCTGGTGTCTGGTGTCTGGTATCTGGTATCTGGTGTCTGGTGTCTGGTATTTGGTATCTGTTATCTCTTTATCTGGTAACTGGTTTCTGGTGTCTGGTATCTGGTGTCTGGTATCTGGTGTCTGGTATCTGGTGTCTGGTATCTGGTGTCTGGTATCTGGTATCTGGTATCTGGTATCTCGTATCTGGTATCTGGTATCTGGTATCAGGTATCTGATGTTTGGTATCTGGTATCTGGTGTCTGGTATCTGATGTCTGGTATCTGGTGTCTGGTATCTGGTGTCTGGTATCTGGTGTCTGGTATCTGGTGTCTGGTATCTGGTGTCTGGTATCTGGTGTCTGGTATCTGGTATTTGGTATCTGTTATCTCTTTATCTGGTATCTGGTTTCTGGTGTCTGGTATCTGGTGGCTGGTATCTGGTATCTGGTATCTGGTATCTCGTATCTGGTGTTTGGTATCTGGTATCTGGTGTCTGGTGTCTGGTATCTGGTATCTGGTATTTGGTATCTCGTATCTGGTATCTGGTTTCTGGTGTCTGGTATCTGATGACTGGTATCTGGTATCTGGTGTCTGGTGTGTGGTATCTGGTATCTGGTGTCTGGTGTCTGGTGTCTGGTATCTGGTATCTGGTATCTGGTATCTCGTATCTGGTATCTGGCTTCTGGTGTCTGGTATCTGGTGTCTGGTGTCTGGTATCTGGTATTTGGTATCTGTTATCTCTTTATCTGGTATCTGATGTCTGGTATCTGGTGTCTGGTGTCTGGTATCTGGTATCTGGTGTCTGGTATCTGGTGTCTGGTATCTGGTTATCAGTTTTCATTTTTCATTTTTCATTTTTAATTTTTCTATTTTAATTTTTAATTTTTAATTTTTAATTTTCAATTTTCAATTTTCAATTTTCAATTTTCAATTTTCAATTTTCAATTTCAATTTTCAATTTTCAATTTTCAATTTTCAATTTTCAATTTTCAATTTTCAATTTTCAATTTTCAATTTTCAATTTTCAATTTTCAATTTTCAATTTTCAATTTTCAATTTTCAATTTTCAATTTTCAATTTTCAATTTTCAATTTTCAATTTTCAATTTTCAATTTTCAATTTTCAATTTTCAATTTTCAATTTTCAATTTTCAATTTTTAATTTTTAGATTTTTAGATTTTTAGATTTTTAGATTTTTAGATTTTTAGATTTTTAGATTTTTAGATTTTTAGATTTTTAGATTTTTAGATTTTTAGATTTTTAGATTTTTAGATTTTTAGATTTTTAGATTTTTAGATTTTTAGATTTTTAGATTTTTAGATTTTTAGATTTTTAGATTTTTAGATTTTTAGATTTTTAGATTTTTAGATTTTTAGATTTTTAGATTTTTAGATTTTTAGATTTTTAGATTTTTAGATTTTTAGATTTTTAGATTTTTAGATTTTTAGATTTTTAGATTTTTAGATTTTTAGATTTTTAGATTTTTAGATTTTTAGATTTTTAGATTTTTAGATTTTTAGATTTTTAGATTTTTAGATTTTTAGATTTTTAGATTTTTAGATTTTTAGATTTTTAGATTTTTAGATTTTTAGATTTTTAGATTTTTTGATTTTTAGATTTTTAGATTTTTCGATTTTTCGATTTTTAGATTTTTAGATTTTTCGATTTTTCGATTTTTCGATTTTTCGATTTTTCGATTTTTCGATTTTTGGATTTTTCGATTTTTCGATTTTTCGATTATTCGATTTTTCGATTTTTCGATTTTTCGATTTTTCGATTTTTCGATTTTTCGATTTTTCGATTTGATTTTTTGATTTTTGATTTTTGATTTTTAATTTTCAATTTTCAATTTTTCATTTTTCATTCTTCAGATTTCAGTTTTCATTTTTTAGTTTTCAGTTATCAGTTATTTGTTATCTGTTTTCTTTTATCTGTTACTTTTTATCTGTTATCTGTCATCTTTTATCTGTTATAAGTTATCTGTTATCTGTTATATGTTACCACCTGTTACCTGTTACCACCTTTTACCTGTTATCTGTTATTTTCCATATAGCATTGAAAATATCCTGTATACAATTGTATAACAGACTCAGATTTATGTGAGATGCCGGCAACGTCGCATGTGTTGTTGTTAATACCATACATGGCGTTATAAAATCTTCCATGTAGCAAATTGTATAGCAGACTTAGATTTATATGAGGATCGTCGCATAAATCTAGCTATAACACGACTTGCAAAAAAATGGCGCTTGACACTGACATATGTCAACCGTGTTCGTCTATGGATAGCAGTGGACTATGCTTTCTTCAGTGTATATGTTTTCTGTTTTGTAATGTCAATGTCATTGTCATAGGTAATTTTTTCTAACCTGGAAAATGAAATGTATTAGGGAGATATTGCAAACATCTGCCTTATTAGTGCAGACCTTATTTTGACATCTACGCATGCGCACATACAATTCTGTATCTATGAGGAATTAATAGGGATAAGGCACGTCCTTATTTAAGCTATAATAGGGGGAGCTTATTTAGGCGTTCTTATGTCACGACGATTCACGATCTAAGCAAATCGGGTGTCGTCGCAAGCCTATTTAACCTATAAATTTGTACTCTCAAAATTCAACGATTGCTGAAGCGTTTTGGTAACTATGAATATGGATAAAAAGAGAATAAGGTTCACGTATGACGACGAAATGATTTTGCTGCGTGAATTTATTGCACAAAACCCTATCCGTTCTCCTGAGAAGTGGGACTCAATCTTACAGAACTTGCGAGAGCTTACGGGAAAAGAATTTATTTTGAGAACAATAAAAAAGCATCTGAACCATCTTCTGGAGCTGTTCCTCAAAAAGGAGGTTAACAGCAAAGTCAAGTAAGTATAAGATAGCACACTGTACCTACATGTATTTTAATAACAAGAGAATGCTTAATGTAAGACTTGGTGAAACAACATTTGTGTTTGACAGGTCTGGCATAGAAGAAGTCTATAATGAAAGAGAACATATGCTCCAAGAAGCCAGCGAGTTAATGAAAGAGACCTGCTCAACTACACCAGCAAAAAAGAAAAAAGTGGAAAACAAAGCGAAAGATATGATTGAAAAGACACGCAATGAAAGAGAGGCTATGGCACTGCTGGCCTTTTCTGATGTGGATGACACTTTAATCGACCATGATTACGGTAAAATAACTATTCTAAACATTTTTTATACATATTACTATATTATCACAGTTTTAGGTGTTTGTGTTACAGTCGACGTTGACACAGAAAATAATAATAAGTCTGTACAAGATGTTGGAACTGCAAAACAGATATCTGTACAAGATGTTGGAACTGCAAAACAGATATCTGTACAAGATGTTGGAACTGCAAAACAGATATCTGTACAAGATGTTGGAACTGCAAAACAGATATCTGTACAAGATGTTGGAACTGCAAAACAGATATCAGGTAAAACAATGATTAGAATTACTGCTTGAATCTTCAGTAATAGAAACACTAAAACAGATCCACAGGTTATGGAGTATGACCAGTAAATAAAACCAGTGCTCGATATAAAATGTGTAGGTACTTATGTTATATACTTTGATAAAAGCCAGTGCAATGACTAACCTGTCAGTGAACTTCTTTTGTTTAGCACTGCGGTTTTATTTACAGGCCAGACTAACCAAATAGTGGATCCAGATGACTACAGCGTATATAGCATTGCCATGGCATCCCATTCAGAGGGCTACTACTAGATTAAGTAGTTTCTAGTATGTTATACATTACCTATAAAACAGAAAGCTCAAAACTACCTCTTACATTTCATGTTCAAGATTAAATACATTTGTTTATTGTTGCTGTTACTTACTTTTCGATCATTACAGCCCCCCGTACCAAAAGGATGAACAAAAGTAAAACATTGAGAAAAAATGGCCTTGATTACCTACGAGAAAAAGCGGAAATATCACGAGAAATAAGATCTGCAGAACTCAAGTTAGAAGAACAAAAAATGGATAATGAAAAAGAAAAAATTGCAAATGACAAAGCAAGACTTGCCTTGGAGTCTAAAAGGCTTGAGGCAGAAATTCAAGAAAAAAAACATAGGATAGAGTTAGAACAAAAGAAATCTGAGCAAGATGTCGCTGAAAGAAAAAACTTGAGTGACCTCATCAAAACACAACAAAAGCTTATTGAAGCATTACTGACAAAACTTGATAATAGATAATTTGCCATTAAAAAAATAATATACTGGCCTTATATTGAAATAATAATGTTGATGCTAAGGATGGTGAGCACAAACCAAGTTTGTTGCCGAAAATATATGAAATTGATTCTGCAACTGGTTCCATGTATGAACATAGTAAAACTGTGTAACTTCAGGATCAAACATATTTCATCCACAACTCCTGAAGAAGTTGATTTCATATATTTTCAGCAACATACTAATTTAGTTTTGAAATCTCTTATTGGGTGCTTGCTGCCCTTATGGTTGTAAAATAAATAAACATACATTCCAAACAAGCTTTATTGGTCTTACAAGTCTATAAAAAATTACAAATTATCATCAAGCGTTACAAGTTAGAAACAACCCAAAATTTAGATGTAAAAGATGGCTAGCGCCATCTAAATTTGCGCTAGAGATAGTTTCTTTGCAAGTTTCGTCAATGACGACGCAGGCAAAGCAGAAACCCCTTACGATTTCTGGTCGCTGACTCAGATGAATTGTACAGAGTACAGATACCCCGGTACCAACCAACAGTAGCCGGCCACCAGAGTCGTAACGCAAGGCGTTCACAGGACAAACTAACAATAGCATTTTCTGCAGAACATGCAATAATATAGTCTGATATACTCGTTTGCTTTCCATTGCAAAGAAACTAGTTCTAGCGAAATTTAGATGGCGCGAGCCATCTTTTACATTTACCGTCTTCCCGCTATTTGATAGACCACATTCGCTTGTTTACTTTCCATTTGTCCGCCTTCACGGCTGGACCTGATACAGACCTATACCATACTGATGAGGGCTAAAGAGCCCGAAACAGCGCTGTCTGCGGTTGGTCTTGGCTGCGGCGATGGAAAGCAAACGAGTATTTCAAACCCAAAATGTCCTCTATTTATCAGTGGCCTATGTAGGTCTCAAGTGAAGGTGGATTTGTATTGAAATACATAGCAGTCTGACTACTATACAGGCATGTATGGCAGTTAGTAAGTAGTACAGCCACCTTGTATAAAGCATCAACGTCTTGAAGTAGCATTTTTTGGTTTTTTGAAAAATCTACAAAGGCAAATTCTGATATGACTTTCTGAAAACCCCATTCTACTGCTATCCTTAGAACTTTCATAGCAGAATTGAAACTCTGCTGATGGGCAGGTAAATCTTCCATTCTGCCATGAAATGGGGTAAATAGCACATCACTCAGCCCATATCCTTGATCACCAAATAAAACAAATCGTCTTGTGTCAAAACATGTCTTTTGCACTAATTCTTCAGAGATACCTGACTCCCTAAATATTCTGGCATCATGCCTTCTTCCCGGATATGCGCCTTTCAAACTAACAATAATTCCATCAGGACAAATTATTGATTGGAATTTTATGCAGTGATACCTTTTGTGTCCTGAATAATACTCTTCTTGATTTTCAGAGGGTCGACAAATTTTCCTTGCTGTACCATCGATGAAACCCCAACAATTATTCATAGGTGCTCCTTTATTATGAATAGCCTACAAAAAGCACATTTCAGCATTTTATGAACCAACCATCACTTCAACTATATTACACAATACAATACCTGTGCATAATACTCCAACTTCTCCCTATTAAACCACTGCAATGAATTCAAATTGTTGAGAAGTACAGCATGCTCCTCCATAATCACACTTATCAATTTATTTATGATTTGTGACAAAGACTGAGTTGACAAGTGGAACATAGGGACCATATCACACAATCTGTTTGGATATGCCAGCCGTCTTAGTAGAATGCACAATGCTGTTAAACCTGAAAGAAGATAAATGGAACTTATACTGTGGTTTTCATGTTGATAGAATTCCAGCCTCTGGCAAGTGTTGTTTGAGTCAGAGGATGGAGTTCGATTGAAATGATGAACATATAGCAATAAATATTTAAACAAAATCATACCATCCACTTTATTACGTGTGATAGTGACAATTTCTGAAGGTATTCGTAAAACAGCCATCAGCCTATGAAGGTCAGACCTCTCAAATCGAAAATTTAGTCTTATTACTTCATCTGGCAAGTTTTCCAAGTTGAATTGTGCTGTATGAGTAATGCCTCTATCAATAAATATATTATGGAGGATGATATGTTCTATTTCCTCCTCATCTGCTCCTGCCAATATAACTGCTTCCAATTCAGCTTCCATTTTACAATCTCACTTCTCACACCTTTGGTAGAATTTCAACTACGAACCACCTATATTATGCAAGCAAAAACTGGAAGGAAAAGTGAGGTTAAGATAAACACCATCAAAGCGAACTGTCAAAATACGTTACATGTGCAATATCTCTAATTCCACTGTACTTATTTAGGTTCACCTAAATAATGCATACCCTTATTTAGGTCCATATGCAATATCTCTCTATTTTGTTTAAAATTAAAATTCAATAACTCCTATTGTGAGATGTGTGCATCTACAACATAATGAAAGGAAAAATTAAGATTCTGAAAGTTAATTCCTAAATATCATAGTAAGGATATCCGTAAAACTAAAAAAAAGTAAACATAAACACCTTGAGAAAACTTCTTCCGTATCAAGTGGTTAAAGTGGAGTTTTAAAACAATTTTTGTTGAAAATAAGGCCGTTAGTTTACAAGCAGGTATGTAACTGAGCGATCCGCTAATGTGTGTGTATCTTGCTTATAAAAAATGCTGTATTTAGATATTGCTATTTACATGAGCTACCGTTCTTTGATAGGATATTTTCAAATTGAACTTTTGTCTTATTTTTACTATTTATTGCAGGAGAACAGTTGTTGAACCAGGTCCTGGTGCATACTTATGTAGTTGTCACTTTGTGGATGGGAAAAAAGAAAATAGACCTACATTGTTTAGGTATAATAGGGAGAAGCAATTGAACTTTCCATCGCCAGTAAGAAGAACCCGTAAAAATAACAACAATGTGAAAATTGAACTCTATAATATGTTACTTCAAATTGGGCCCTTTTAAGGGATGTATGTAATAATTATGTGATCTGCAAAAATAAAAATAGTTTAGATACAACACATGGCATCATAAATTATTTTAATGTAGAGTTCAGTACTCGTATAGGTAACTTTCACTCCCCTGGCAGGCTTAATCTAAGCGATATCACAAATATGTCTATACCAAGTTACGATTATACTGTGCAAGAGTACTTATCTTACAAATTTTGACAAGTAATGGTGTCTGTTGTTTTGACAAGTCTTGGAAGTCACAAGTTCTTAAAGCAGCTACATTCTAAATCGATTTAGATCAAAATAAACAACTGCAGTGGCTGTGAAAGTCTTAGTAATTTTGAAAACTTTGGTAGTAGATATGATTATCAATGCTATTTTTCAGCGCTTTGCATATTCCTTCATCTGCTTGATAATATTTGCCAATCGAAGGGATAGATGACAAGTTTGTTTACTTATTTTCCATTTATACATACTACTCAGGTGAGATACTACTACTACAAGGTTTTTACAATATTTATGAGTTTGTTGATGGTAAAGTTCTTCGTTTGGGAAAAATTCAACAGAAGCAGATGAACAATGCTCGCTTTATGATCTGGAGAAAAATGTGCTATCGCTTTAAAATAAAATTTCCTCTATTTTTTTTAATGTTGTATGATTATGATCAATCAATTAGAAACATGACATATAATAATAACATCTCAAAAAATTAGAGCAGAAGCTTGAAATTATTAAGTACTATAGTTGTTGGACAGCAAGTAATAGTATCGCTTGAAAATCAAATTTTGTAATCTGTTTCCTCTGATTCAATAATGAATTTTTCTGTAATCTATGATTAAGATCAGTCTTAGAAACAGGACAGATGTGAGTATCCTTGAAATTAGACATATAATAATAACATCTTTAAAAACAGAATAGAAATTTGAAATCATCAAGTGCTATAGTTTTTTGACAAGTAATGGTGTCTGTTGTTTTGACAAGTCTTGGAAGTGACAAGTCCTTAAAGCAGCTACATTCTAAATCGAAGTACATACATTCTGCATTGAGATCAAAATAAACAACTGCAGTGGCTGTGAAAGTCTTAGTAATTTTGAAAACTTTGGTAGTAGATATGATTATCAATGCTATTTTTCAGCGCTTTGCATATTCCTTCATCTGCTTGATAATATGTGCCACTGTTAGCCAGCTAATAGGTCTACATATTTAGACAAATTGAACTGAGGGTCAAGACTGAACTCTTACTGAACTTCATAGAAGTGACTGACTACTTACGTTTGCAATAGAAACACATAAACTGTAAACACTTCACACAACACTTTCACTATTTGTAGCTGCGATTGCTTGTTCTAAGCTTCTAATTAATCCTTATTAACGGGAGCCTCATTGTTAAGATTTCGATAATGTTTACATTCATACATTGTAGGTTAGAATGATGCAATGTGATGCAATCAGCAATACGCTTTATATCAATCGGTTAGAAAAGCGGAGCTTTATGCCATATTGTAAAATTATAACATGAATAGGGGCTTACAATCATATTTTTATAGTATTTATAAACCGATGATGATTTCAATAAATTGATGAACGTCAAAGAATAATTGCAGCCTTTGGCGGTAGACATCGCAATCTGTAAAAATAAAAAACTACTAGATTCATCCGATTTTAATGGCTCTAGTCCGGTCCGTTTAGACAATGGAATATAGAAATTTTGAATCTTTTCGAAAATGTTGATTTTCACGCGTAAAAAAGGACAATTCTATTTGGCGTGATCCAATATTGGATGAAGCGATAGTCATGAAGCCGAAAATGGCACGTTTTTGACGTTCCGCTCGCACTCGCTCGCTTTCGTAATACGATCGTATCTACAATACCCCGCCTAACAGGAATCCGGGGATCTGGAGGGGAAATTCAAAATTGAAAAGTCAAACTAAAAATGTGTGCATATCTTTGAATTTTCTAATCTGCCGAGTTTAAAAAATGCGATCGGGTAACGTGTCGTATGTCGGTTTAATCAGGAGACTTTGGCCTGTCGTTTTGCGAAAAAAAATCGTAGCTACGTCACTCCGTAACGCAGGTCCGTATCGACGAAGACAAAGTACGCCGAAAAACGGTTGTCATCGGTATTTTTGAGGCGCTCAAAGTTTACTTTTTCGAAATTTGACGGTAATTCTAACGGTCAGAATCGTTTCGTCAGCTCATTATCGTTATTTTTCGATAGCTGTATAATTTTTACTCGCTCACGTACGGTAGTAATAAGCGAGGACAGAGCCGGATGACAAGGTGACTTTTTCACGCGTCGAAAAGTAGCGTATTGTCGAGGAATTTTTAAAAAATCGAAACTTTTCAACGTAAACGAATAATGATGATGAAAATAGTATTAAAAGAGTGTCCGAAGCATGGGCTTTCTCACGCAAAAATCGTCAGGTTCGTAGCTCCTTTATCTTCGGAGGAGATAGCTGATATACGGCGAAGCAGCGCGCTTTATACGCAAAAAAGTCATTCTTGACGGCGTTCGAGGTTCGTTTATTCGAAACGGGTACCGTAAACGAAAAAACGTCTCTCCGCGTAATTTGTAGCGCTCGCCGAGATGTACGAAACGCGGCCCGCGAAATTCCTTTTCTCTTCGGCATAAGGGAGATATCGTAGTTTTCAAGGCGATTCGTCGTTTTTGTCGCTTTTTTTTCGAACATTTCTAGAAAAAAAACCGAGACGCGGAACCGAACAGATTTAGCTAATAGGCACGTATTTTTCGTTTAGCTATCGAACGAGACCGATCTCGAGTCGATATTTCGATAAACGGCGAAACCAGTGTGAAATAACGCCGCGTACCGTCCGAAAAACGGTCGATTTTTCGACTTTACCGGCCGTTTTCGATCCGATCCGTTCGTCTCGCCGCGACGGCTCTCGCCCGCCCGTAAAGCGCCGAGTTTCTACTTTCCGAAACGGTACCTCTTTCCTTCCGGGCGTTTCGCGAACCTCCTCAAAAACCGGAAAAACCGCGTCGACGTCGCCCGCCCAAAATTTCTAACGTCACGTGACCTCTTCCTTAAAACAATCGATCACCGCTTAATATAGTCGACTAGCGCAGTTTCTGGCATGCTAACGCTATGCCAAATATTGTACGTTGATGTCTTTATTTAAAACCTCACGTAGCGCAGTTGCTGGTATGCTAATGCAATGCTAGCGATAACTATCTCTAATCATTTTTTATCCTTTGGCATCTTTGATCTGGTATCTGGTATCAAGTATCTGGTATCTGGTATCCGGTATCCGGTGTCTGGTATCTGGTATCTGGTATCAGGTATCTGGTGTCTGGTGTCTGGTATCTGATATCTGGTATCTGGTATCCGGTATCCGGTGTCTGGTATCTGGTATCTGGTATCTGGTGTCTGGTATCTGATGTCTGGTATCTGGTACCCGGTATCTGGTGTCTGGCATCTGGTATCTGGTATCTGGTGTCTGGTGTCTGGTATCTGATGTCTGGTATCTGGTGTCTGGTGTCTGGTATCTGGTATCTGGTATCTGGTATCTGGTGTCTGGTATCTGGTATTTGGTATCTGTTATCTCTTTATCTGGTATCTGGTTTCTGGTGGCTGGTATCTGGTATCTCGTATCTGGTATCTGGTATCTCGTATCTGGTATCTGGTTTCTGGTGTCTGGTATCTGATGTCTGGTATCCGGTATCCGGTGTCTGGTATCTGGTATCTGGTATCTGGTATCTGGTGTCTGGTATCTGATGTCTGGTATCTGGTATCCGGTATCCGGTGTCCGGTATCTGGTATCTGGTATCAGGTATCTGGTGTCTGGTATCTGATATCTGGTATCTGGTATCCGGTATCCGGTGTCTGGTATCTGGTATCCGGTATCTGGTATCTGGTGTCTGGTATCTGATGTCTGGTATCTGGTATCCGGTATCTGGTGTCTGGCATCTGGTATCTGGTATCTGGTGTCTGGTGTCTGGTATCTGATGTCTGGTATCTGGTGTCTGGTGTCTGGTATCTGGTATCTGGTATCTGGTATTTGGTATCTGTTATCTCTTTATCTGGTATCTGGTTTCTGGTGGCTGGTATCTGGTATCTCGTATCTGGTATCTGGTATCTCGTATCTGGTATCTGGTTTCTGGTGTCTGGTATCTGATGTCTGGTATCCGGTATCCGGTGTCTGGTATCTGGTATCTGGTATCTGGTGTCTGGTATCTGATGTCTGGTA